ATACACTCATTGTAGTGTATTAACATGCTAAATGACACACCCACCAGTATCATGACAGCTGACGAATGCCAGGACAATAACCGGAAAAGCCTGTACAAGGACTGAAAAGCTCAAAGGCGGACTGACTGGCTCCATCACACCAGGTAGGAGGACATGATGGCAAAAGCTTCCCATAAAAATCCACAGGTCGTAGCTGCCCCTACTGGCCATCTTGGCTGCGGCTCCCCACACAAGTGCCTTTTCCTCACTTGAGCGCTTTACTTCCTTCTCCCTGCTAGAGCACTTTCCTTCCTTTTCCTCCTTTGAGAAATAAAAGCAGTTTTCACTCTGTCCCTCTGCCACAGCTGTGAATTCTTTCCAGCTGGCAGGCAAGGACCCACACTTTGGTGGGCCTCCTAATTTAAGGGTCTTGCTATCTGCCAATAATGTCACAAGTTCATAAACTACTGAAGAGAATTCAGGTTCAAATCTACCTCGTTTTGGGATCCATGAAGACTGTCCTCCTGACAAAGTAATGAAATATTCTGAGAGGTTTACTGATAAGCTAGGGACAAGAGTGAAGGAAGGAACTGGATAGCTAAGGTTCGAAAAGAAGACTGAAGACTGTGAAGAACCTAGGTATTGATTAAAGAAGTTTTTGCAGAGGAACAAGTAAAAACTTACACTTTTTCAGCCTCCTTTCATATTCATTACTTTATCATCTGAGCAACCACCCACTTACATTCTTTTTTTAGTTTTTCAAGTAGCTTTTTAGAAAGTATGAATTGCATGCATTTTAGGGATTTTTACATAGGCATAAATTCACCAGAGTCCAAGAGCAATGAACTGAACAACAATGCTCATGACTATATGCCCCTATCAGTCATTTTTAAAGATAACTACATTTTTTTTTAACTTTATGTTACTCAAGCACTTCTCCCATATCCCCTTCTCCCATGTTTTTTCTGGCTGTCATCTGTGTCAAGCTGATTCAAAGGCTTGATTATAGCAATTAAATAAGCAAAATGACACCTTCAAAAGTAAAGATTTAGGGGAAAGGGTATATAGCTCAGTGAGAGAGTGCATGCATGCATGAGGTCTTGGATTCAGTCTCCAGTACCTCCATTAAAATAAACAGGTAAATAAATAAACCTAATTACCTCCCCCAAACCAAAACCAAACATAAATAAAAGTAAAACTTTAAAACAATGCAACTTCATTCCAGATTCTTCATGGTTTTAGAGTGCACACCAAGCTCAACACAAACCCTATTATTGGATCAAGCTGACCTTTTTTGTCCTCTAGCCACTCAGGCAGACAGGGACCGAAGTAACTTGTGAAAGATGGGCTCATAATGACTTTGGGGCTTAGGAACATTAAACGATATTATTAAACATAGATTGAATGTACATTACTTTCTGAAACTTTGAGGGACAAGGACAGTACTGGCAGGTAAAGAGGAACCAGAAGCTCCCCTGGTCAAACTATAAACGCTCTCTCTCCAAACTTTATTATTTAATTCAGGTAAAACTCAATAACTCCATAGGGCTCTCGAATGAATGGGGACTCCTATTTCTTGTCAGCACACCAGTAAGTGCTCCTCAGACCACTCCAGATTTATGCTCCCTTCACTGGAGACCAAGTTCTTTGAGAATACAAACTATGTCTTTCACTCACCTGTTTCCTCACTGGACATGGGCTGGCACATAACTGGCATTTTGCGAATGTAGGTTGAAAGCAAGAACAGAATATCCCTTAACAGTGACTTTCTGAGAATTTTGTTAGTTTTACCTCAAATCTACAATATAAACATTTATACATATAAAGCATTAACACAGCCAGGCAGAAAATAGGCAGTATATTTCAACTAATATCTGAGGTCCTACAGAACTGGCTTATAAGCTTCTGTTTATGATCTCCTATTTTCCTAGGTAGAACAGGTACCCAAGTTTATGACGCTGATTTTTTCCCAGCCTTCCACAAACTGCACTGGGTAAGCCCAATGAAGGAGCCAATCTCTTTCCTGATGGCTTCCTTCTTGCTTAAAAATTTATTCTAATTTGGAATCTCAATCCCACATCCATGACACCTAACTCTTTAGTTTTTTTTTTTCAAGGAACTAAAACTTTTGGCATAAAACATTATTTAAAAAAAAAACTAAATTACAAAAGAAATAGGACATAACACAATGAGTCTGCCTGATTGTGCTCTTTAAATGCTGGCTCTTTGTGTGATTTAATTACCAAGTATTTTAGATAATTACTCTGCAACTTTTAACAGAAGTAGGACACCCATACTTCAACATTTTTAAAAAGCAAAAAAATCCTCAAACTAGTTAATGGTATTCAATCAATCCTAAGAGGTACTGACACTGAGAATCTCCTTGATTTGACAAAAATCAAAGTGATTAAAGTTAGATACAATATCTGTAAATTGATCATGATGTAAGGCATGAGGACCATTTAATTTAAGAGCAATCTTACTGTTTTTAGGACTAACACAATCCAATTTGTTCCTCTGGAGGGAAGCCCCACCTAATTCACTGCACACCTCTACCTCAGATTACTACACCTTTTTTACTAAGCATCTGAGACAAGATCCTAAAATAAAACAAAGTAAGATACAATGCCTGCTAGGAGAAGTTTATGATCTGGCAAAAGCAGTCATGTTTTCATTGTGGTAATGACTTAGAATACATTAATTCAGTCATCAAATATTTATTGAAAGCCTTTTTGAAGACATCTATTAAAAGATTTATTACAAATCAGGCTCTGTGCTAGAGGCTGTGGATACAACAGACACTCCAATACAGAGGAAAAGACACAGAGACAAGGAGAGGACAGTGAAGTACTGTAATTGCTATAGAAAAGTATGGGGTAGCGCATGTGGGCACAAACAACAATGGCTTAATTGGGAAAAGGGGGTTTCATAAATAGCTTCATAGAGGAGGCAGTGCTTGAGCTGGGTCTCAAATGATGAATGGCAAATAACAATAAAGACGCTGCATGTGAGAAGCAATACAGCCTAAGTAAAGAGCATAAACAAAAGCACAGAACCAGTACGGCACAGTCAGGAAATTGTTATTAATTAAACAAGGACAGTGAACGGGTTCGAAGAGAAAAATACGTGAAAACTTACTTATTCATGGAGCACAAATCATAAAATCTGTTTCTTCTTCTGTAAGTGTAAAAAGTTGTGTAGAACAGATGAGAGAAAAATGTTTAAGAATTATTCAAAGTAACAGTAAAGTCAATTTCAATGAAAAAACCCAAGGAATAATCTATTTTTAGAAGAAATTAATACTTCAGGAAAACTTTAACAAGAACGTGAGGGAAAGGATTGGGGGGATGAAAACAGAAAGCTGAAAAAGATGCTCAATTTAACTCTAATAAGAGATAAAAATGTAGCCAGAGGGGAACAAAACAATTACCAGAGCCTCCTGAAGAACCGAGAATAAATAAGTTGCGGCTTTTCTCAAGAATATCACAGTAAGAAAAAAAACTCACTCTTTAACAATGAATTATAATATGGATAGGAACTGAATCTTAAAATAACCCTCTATGCAAACATAGCTAAGGCCAAGAAAATGGGACACTGAATGTGAATGAGACAACTACTACAACCGAAAAAGAACGTAAGTCAACGAACCTACTTCTCACCACCTAAAGAAATTAGAAGTGGATAAGAAATCAACAAAGGAAAGTGAAGAGCAAGCTCTAAACAAGAAGATGACATAATAGCACTGCAAGCAGAACTGTCTGATTCAGATGATGCAGAGAGAAGTTTTGAAAAGCAGTTTGGGGAAGAAATCTTAAGTGCAAAGGGAGATACTGAACTGGAAGCCAGTCAGTTTCATCATCAAAAGGAAGTTAAGGAACAAATAAGGAAAAATGAAACTGTAAAATGACAGCTGGGAAATTTTCAATGAGACAAGAGGACAGATGAAGGAAGACTGGTATTTTTGTAGAGGTAGGAGGTGAAGTTCAGGGAAATCTAAAACTTACTATAGAACAAATAGAAAGCAAAGAGATGTTGGAAATACATGTGGGCATTGACTATCCAAAGACGAAAAACACCAAGTGGAAATTCTGATTGATGTAACTGAGAAATCAAAACCCAAACTGTCTACAGGTGAAAAAGAGTGATGTGATTTGGGATAAATTACAAAATAATACTGGAATGACCACCATAAGGAAGAACGCCAGCAAAAGAGGATAAAAGTTGTAGATAACCTCAAAAGGCTTTGTCTGAATTCTATAATCAAGCTGTCGATGAAAGATTAAGGTAGCTTAAAGGTTGTAAAACAGTGACACACTCAGTCTCTTCATGTGGAGTGATTTCATCTGCGTGTAGTAATGGTCTTACTTGTCAGATCAAAGGAACAAAGGGAATCACATTCAGTGGACTTAGGGACAGAGTAAGAAATTTGCCTGCAATATTTTTTAAAACCTGAAATGGTACTATAAAACATAACTATTTTATGTAAACATTTCTGGTTTTGTAAGTGTCTCATACAAGGAAAACCAATGTAGAACCTAAGATGGGTATAGGTTTAGCAGTTTTTATAATGTTCAGCTGGATTTTTAAAATTAATTTTGCAACATTTCACAGTCACTGTATAGTATACTTTGGAAATTAGATTTATTGTAGTAATATCGTAAAGAAGTTGTTTCCTACTTAACAATGCATCAATACCCTTGCTACCCAGAACAGAATAGAAAACATCAGAAGGCATTATACATAGTGAAGGTATTTCATGACCCTTTAGTTTCAGTTATGTGTATGTGTGTGCAGCATGTAAAACATTCTGAACATTGTAAGTTTCAAAATACACAAGGATAAAACATTTTATTGCAATGTCTAAGAACTTTTCCTGCACAGGTTTTCCTTAAAATGTAAAGACCTTACCAACACACTTTCGTATTTACAGAAAACCTTATACCCTGACTGCCACTCATCCAGAGGGCTGCTCCCCTAATTCTTCCCCTTTCCCCAGTGCTTCTCCCCCATAACCAGCTGACCTGAGTAGACACGGTCACCTGATGGCCAGTATACAGAACTGTATATCTTGGGGCCCCGTTCACTCACATCCTCTCCCTCACCTCACATTCAAGATTTAGCCTCTTCACCCTGAAAAGGAATGTGTGCACACAAGTCACCAGTTTGTCTGTCTTCACTCTCATAAGTAATCCCACCCCATACAATCTCTTATTCTAGCACTAACCGTAAAATTTTCTGCAGTAATGAAAATGTTTGACATCTGCCCTGTCCAGTACAGCAGCCACCAGCTCTTGAGCCTTAGAATGTGACTATGGTGACTAAGGAACTGAATTTTTATTTAATTTTAACTCATTTAACTTTAAATAGCTACACATGGCTAGACGCTACCATAATGGACAGCACAATCTTACACACAAACTTAAAAACAAAGTATTTATCCATCTCTCTTTCTGTCTTCTCAAAATTCTTCCCCAGTTACTATTTCGGAGAAAAAAAAATCCTCTTGTTTATTTTCACTCCACTTATAAATCAAAACCTTAAGGAACAGGAGCTAGCAATGCAAAGAGTACTCTGGAGCAATGAAAAGCCACTGAAGGTTATAAGTAGGAGAGTGACATGATGTGATTTCATAGATCACTCTGGCTGTTATGTGAGAATGAATTGAAAGGGAGAAAACAAGGAAGCAGGGGCATCAGTTAAGAAGCTAGGCAGAAAGGAATCCAGATGAGATATGATGATGGACAGGTAGGCTGAAGTCGATGGACAGAAAGGAATAGAAGAGCTCAAGATGAATGGGGAAGACAGGAGCTATAGCACTTGATGCATTAAACAGGAAGGGATAACCAGGGAGTTTGAAATTTGCAGATACTAACTACTATATATAAAATAGATAAATAACAAGTTTATACTGTACAGCACAGGGAACTATACAATACCTTGTAGTAACCTATAATGAAAAAGAATATGAAAATGAATACATGTATGTATATGTATCACTGAAACATTATGCTGCACACCAGAAATTGACACAACATTGTAAACTGACTATACTTCAATTTAAAAGAAAAAAACGCACCCCCCTAATCCCTATTCTTAGAAAATACACGTCACAGTATTTAGGGGTAAAGCTTCACAGTGTATACAACTTACTCTCCAATGCTTGGCACGTGTGTGTGCGCATATGTAAGAACATATGTACATACAGACAATTATGTACACATATACATATATATGTACATGTGCGAGAGAGCAAATGATAAGCTTAGGTGAATCTGGATAAAGATTATTTAGATATTCTTTGTACTATTCTTATTCTCGCCATTTTTCTGAATATGAAATTATTTCCTATTAAAAATGTTTTTTAAGCCGTCAGTCCTAGATTTCTTTTATTCGTGCTAATAATTCCAATTCTTTTCAACCCATCTCATATATATTTCCCCCCAAGCAGCCATCTTGTCTTTTCCATCACTCAGAGCAGTGTCCCCACCAGGGAGACAATCAAACACATCAGCTCTACAAAGAGATGGTGTAACAAGAGGTGAGGACTATGACAACAAGCTTCTTGCAATTTGCAATCTCCCATGAAGTATATCTACATTTCTGCTCTCTGGAATGTCCTACGCCCTATGTCCTAAAGGCTGCTACATGACAGCTCTCTGCTCAAAATGCCCACTCACCACGTTGGTCTACCCTGAGAACACCCTCTGAAGACTTTTTTCTTCCTTTCTTACCTCCTCCACAAAAGAGCTCCCTAGGCAGGACAATATAAGCCAAAATGATACACACACCCCTCTCTAAACTTCAAAAGGCTACAATACAGAATGCTCATATAGATTTTCCAAGGTAATTTCCAAGTGAGAATCTAGTGCCAGCCTCATAAACCCTAAACTTATCAGAATGTAGATAAAGATCAACAATGCAGCAACAACAAAGACTAACAAAAATACACTTGACACTCCTGCAAAATATTCACAACATGTAAAACTCAATATTCTGAAATATGTGCTAAATCATCCAGAATATCAGGGGCTCACGTTTTAAAGTGCTTTTTTCTGCAAATTTGGACTTCTTTAAATGTTACAAGCAAGACAAATTTTAAAATCTGTGAGCAAACCAAGAAAAGAAATTCAAGAAACTAAAGAGTTCTTCTGTGACTATATTTGGGTTCAGAAAAATAATGATTCAATACTTAATGACCTGTGCTTATGAAACATATTAGAGGACGTAGAGGTAAAGTGATTACGTTACCACATCTGCACCATCAGCATATTAAGCTGGCATCTTCCGGGAACATGTAACAATGGTTATCAGGAGCCTCTCCTGGGTATCAATTGGCAGTTAAACAGTATCTCTTCAAAGTACTACTCAAATATATCAGCTTACAATTCCCCACACTAAAGCTCCCATTGTCATCTGTTCTGTTTCAAGACCTTCCTATACTTAACTGCTCCTTAACTCGCTTTTGGACACAAAGCATCAAGTGTTGCTGTCAAACTTTTCATCTCTTTCCTAGCTCATTAAGGAAATATCCTACAAGAGTATTTCTTGCACTTATCTTTTCTTGCTTTCCTCACTACTCCTTACAAATCGTATTTTTGACCCTTAAACAAATTTCTTGTAAAAAGCGTAAATTTCCTAATAAGGCTGCCTAACAGAGATATTTAGCAAACTGACCTTTAATGGATACACAAGGTTTAGTCTATGGTTCAAGCACTATTCTAGGGTGGCAGACCCAAAACTATTTCACCTTTGGCATTCCTATAAGACACAACCAACATGCATTTCCTACAGAATATCCAGGACCAAGCAGAAGACTTACTTTCAAAGGGGCTTTTTACAATGGTCCACTCAGGATATCAGAGTCTGGCCCAAGGAAACAGTAAAGGGAAAGGAGAGGGAGCAAACAGCTCTATCAGCAAAATTTGACAGCTAAAGGAAATGAGGGATAGGAGGATAGAAAGATAATTTCCAGGTTTATAATTTTGGTAACTGAGTGACTGACAGCATCACTAACCAAGACAGGAAATGGAGTGAATGCATTAATCTGGAGAAGACCATGTCCTTAATTTTTGATGTTTTAAGTTTCAGGTTTTTCACTAAACGATCATATGGGCGTTCTAAATAGCAAACTTAAGGACTGGAATGCTCAAGAAAGAAACTGGGTTGCAAACATGAACACAGACATGAGATCATGAAAAGTAACGTGTTCAAGAGAGCATAACAGAATGAAGAAAAAAGAGAGCAAGCTGAAACCCCAGGAAATATGGACATTAGTTATGACAGGTGAGAAAGAAGAGGTAAGAATGAGAAAGATGAGAGAGTGTTACCATGGAAAGCGAAGGAAATGAGGGTGTCAGGAACATGTGCACGATCATCTGAACGGTTCACACGCAGGATTTAACAATTAGGAACTATGTTCAAGGACAGATACAATTTCAATAAGCAGAGGAAGCAAGAGTGAAAACACTGTCTTGGGCCAGGGGAAACAAAAAAAGGACGAGCGTGAAGTATATTTGGAACAGAACGTAAAAGAGTTTTGCTGGAATGGAAGGTTTCACATAGAAGAAGGCAAGAAAGAAAGTCTGGGCCAAAGGCTTCGCATTCCAGATTTTTGTTCTAGTTTAGATTTCATTCTGTGAGAAAGAAGTTAAGCCCAGTAATCTTTTTTTTTTTCCTCTTTGAGACAACTACTCTAGTGACAACATCCATGAAGAACCAGAATGACAAGAGAGTTACGGCAGAACAAGCTATTAAGCACTCTTATAATTATTTAAACATAGTAATGAGGGCCTGAAAGAGGCTGGCAGTAGACAAAGTAAGAATTACAGGGAACATGAAAGAGATACTCTCTAATCCCAGGGTGCCCTAGATATTCTACTATTACTATATTATTCTACTCATCACATTGCATCATAATCATTCATGGACTGAGATCTTCTCTCATTCGGCCTCTCATTACTAGTACTAACAAAACAGGAACATGGGAAGTGGCCAAAAATTTTTTCATTGACTTACAATAGAACTCAGTAATGATACAGAAGTGAGACTTAAATTTAGTTATGGCAGAAAAACCTAAGTGACTTATAAGACGGTGATACAGAAAACACTAATGGAGAAATCAAGATGGAGTGTAGGGAATGAGTTTAAGATATGTTTGGAGTTGAGGGGGGTATGTCTAAGGACAACATCCAAATAGAAATATCAAAGAGAAAAAAATAAAACCACTAAAGAAAAAAATGCAGGTGTTAGAGGCACTGACCTTCTACGCAGCCAAAAACCAGAGTATAAGTTATAGTCAGTTCTCCCTGTACTTAGTCCCTCTGTATCCACAAATTTTACCAATCACAATCATGCAGTACTATAGTATCTACTACTGAAAAAAAAAATCCATGCATAAGTGGACCCACACAGTTCAAACACAGTTGCTCAAAGGTAAAGTGCATTCAGATATTCAGACAAAGAGAAATTTGAGATAATGAAATCATCAACAAATCTTATTATTGACTCCTAAGAACAAACACTTAATAAAATACCAATTTCCTAAGACATTTTAGGGGTATGACTCTGTCTTTGAGAACGCTATCTGAATTGCTTATTTGCATATTCTGTATAAGTTAAATTGATGTAAAAGCCCAACCAAATAGGTCAATCAAAACTGAGGCAATACTGAATAATTATTTGCTTTACTTGATCATTCATTCAACAATTTATTGAGTGACTATCAGTTTGATTTGGAGCAAGGAGGACCAAACACAAAGCAAATAAAGTAAAATACAGCAAATACTACAGCAAAATAACTGCAAAAGGTAAAGGAAGACAGGTAACAGAGAACAGAGATAAAATGGAGAATGGTTAGATGATGAAAATACGCCTAGAAGCTGTCCTGGAAGAGGAGACATCTATGCTGAGCTTTTTAAAAGTTGAAGTGTTTTAACAAGATAGCTAAGAAGTTGAATGGTTTTCTGAAAGAAACTAATAGCATGTACAAAGGCATGGAGATGTCAAAGAGATGCTCATCTCATCTTCGTGGAACCATGAAATAAGATGAGGGCCACAGCTCATGGAGGACTTTCTGTGCACTGATAAGAAATCTGACCCTTATCCTGTAGTCCTGTGCTCAGAAACATCAGATGTGCATTAGACTCCCCTAGGGAGCACTCCAAATCCCCTAAAGCAAGAGTGCAAGTGCAGACAGGAGGCGGAAAAGAAGAGG